CTATAGCCAATTTGTGCCGTGTCTGAACGTGATGAGAGGGGGGAGAAAGGAAGAGGATGAGAGAGAGGAGGGAAGGTGGATGAGAAGGCAAGAAAGGATGGATTGACGGAGGAATGAATGTGGGTTTACGGAATGATGATAGACAGGAGGCGAGGCGGGAGACGGGTGTGAGGCGAGCTTTCATCCATAACTTTCACGAAAACAAGGCTAAAGGAAAATAAAGGATAGATTTAGGATGATGCAAACAAATGAAATGTGTTGGACTGCGTGAGCATGTCTTTGTGAAGTCCAGGTGAATGTAGCCAGACGATGAATGAGATCTTTCCCCCTTGCTGCACACACCTTCACCATAATCTATGTAGGGAAAATATAGGGATTGGTTCTAAGTCTGCTCTCTGGCACACTCACACGCATCCTGACACTCACACTCAGAAACACTACATAACAGGCACCGTGACGATGGGAGGACCAAGAATTGTAGCAGTGATATATAACCCTCCAGTAAATGACAGCAGACCCAGGCAAGAGTATGACAAAAATTACATGGCAGTTAACACTATAATTAAAAGGGCAGCCTCTGCCGCCTGTAGAAATCGATCCCGTCTGCTTATTATGAGAGACTTCAACCACGGAAAGATAGATTGGGAGAACAAAGTAACACAGGGTGGTGAAGAAACATGGAGAACTAACCTCTTGGATCTGGTAACAAGAAACTTTTTAAGCTTGCATGTCATGGTAACTTCAAGACTGAAAGGCAACGACAAACCAGCTAGACTTGACATGGTATTAACTTCGAACAATTTAAGACAAAGGAAATCAACTTCGAAGCTCCCGTGGGAATGAGTGATCACACTGTATTGATGTTTGAATATCTGGTAAAAGTATGGATAACGGACTCAAGGAATAGACCAGAAAAGAAAAGGGTAGCATACCGTAAGGGAAACTACTGAGAGATAATAAAATTCTTAACAGATATACCGTGGGTAACAGACTCCGAGTAAAGGGTGTACAAGACATGATGGACTATATCACCCAAAAGTGTAAGGAGGCAGCAGACAAGTCACCGTCCAAAAAAAAAAACTCCTCAAACTGGAGCGGTTTGAGATTACCAGCGGGAAAGTAAGGAAGCATTTGCTTGAATTGGATGTGGGAAAGGCTATAGGTACAAATGGAATCTCACCATGGATACTAAAAGAAGGAGTAGAAGCACTGTCCCTCCCACTCTTAATAGTGTATAACAAGTCACTGGTGACAGGAGAATTACAAAAAATTTGGAAGATGACTAATGTAGTCCCAATATACTAAAGGGAGACAGACACTAAAGTAAACTACAGGCCATTGTTCCTAACTTAAATACCATGCAAGGTGATGGAGAAGACTGTGGAAAAAAATAGCAGAACATTTGGAGAGAATGAACTTTGTAACACATCACCAGCATGGGTTCAGGTATGGCAGATCTTACCTTACAAGAGAAACATTAATTGAATTCTATGATCAGGCGCCAAAAATCAGGAAAGAAAAAGAAAGGTGGGCAGACTGCATATTTCTAGAATGCTGAAAAGCCTTTAACACAGTGCTCCACGGGAGACTAGTGCATAGGTTGGAGATGTAGGCAGGAATAAAAGGAATGGTACTCCAGTGGATAAGGGAGTACCTAATCAGCAGAAGACAGTGAGTCTGTGAGAGGGGTGATCTCAGAGTGGCGAAATGTCACTAGTGGTGTTCCACAGAGACAGTCCTTGGTCTTTTCCTTTTTCTGATATGTAAACAATCTCCCAGAGGGAGATTGTTTACAATCTTGGCCCCGTCCAGCCCAACCACTTGGACTGGTCGGTAGAACGACGGTCTCGCTTCATGCAGGTCGGCGTTCAATCCCCGACCGTCCAAGTGGTTGGGCACCATTCCATCCCCAACACCCCGTTCCTTTCCAAATTCTTATCCTGACCCTTTCCCAGTGCAATATAGTCGTAATGGCTTAGCGCTTTCCCCTAAGCTTTCGTACAGTCTGGCTGATCATGAAAAGCAACACAATGAAGATAGAAACCCTGGTATGCCATGACTCGCCCAGTTTCTGGCACCCAGGCATGTCGCTAATGACATTCCAGGTACTGAGTGATAAAGTCAAGAGCAGAAGTTAGCTATTTCCCAACAGACTCGATTAAAGGGCCAATTTCTCACGTGGGAAAGACAACACTACCACGAATTAGCTATCAGTATCACCCATCAGCGCAACCATGAACCATTCTTGACACGTGAACCATCGCTGCAGCAGCAACCATCTCAGTTTTGCTGTTCTTCCTCATCTTCACCCTCTTCCTCCAAATCTTCATTTCCCGTGATGGACTGTGAAATCAATTGGAAACTAGTCAAGAAATATCCAGTTGTTTAGGATGAATACGTAACTGATATGAGGTGACAGAAGAGATGGGGGAGGGGATGTACAGGGCGGGAGAGAGAGCAGAATTTAGCGGGGGGGGGGTAGAGAGGTTAAGCATAGTTAGCATTCAAGTGCTGAATGTAAGAGCCTGGGGCCGGAGGGTGTTTAAGGAGAAGGGATGAAGTTGATGTAATTGAGACGAGGAATGCGAGCAGAAGTACGGTAGAAAGATGGGGGATTATAGAATGAAGAGGAATGGGAGAGGATTTTGGGGGAAGCCCAACACAAGCTACAAATTAAACAATATATGCTTGTGTGGTAGTAAAATGTGTCCTCATTTTACTTATTAAACCGGTACAAGAACTGTTGTTATTTAAAGATATAATGTTCAGGTCACAGTGACCCTTGCAAAGATTTATATTTGTGAGCAGTATGGTTGTGGTGGGTATACTGGCATTGGATTAAACAGGAATTATTTAGTGATCATTGATGGAAACTATAGACATAAACCAAATATAGAAACTATAGACATATTGACCAAACCACACACTAGAAAGTGTGTGGTTTGGTCAATATGGAATAAGTAATAGTAATAGGAATAAGTCAGGGATCGTAAGAGAAAACAATAGAAAGAAAAAGAAAAGGAAAGATAAAGAAAGATCAATGGAAGGGCAAACTTATGTTAGATCACGTTTGCTAGAAAGTTTGGAGCATTTTAAGTTTAAGTTTTGCATAAGTTTAATTAAGTTTAGTAAAGTTTATCATAAGTTTACCTTTCCATTTATCTTTCTTTCTCTTTTCTTTTCTTTTTCTTTCCATTGTTTTCTCTTACGATCCCTGACTTATTCCTATTACTATCCCCTTCTTATTCCTTTTACTTTTCCCTTCTTATTGGGTGGTTATAAATAGGAGCTATCTCTTATGGCCCAGTAGGCCTTCTGCAGTTACCTTTGTTCTTGTGTTCTTATGTTCTTATTTCTATTACTATACCCTTTATTTCACCTTACCTTTCGTACCATTTGCCTTGCTCTTCTTCCTCTAAGATATTCTTCTCCTCATCTCTCTCTCTTGCCTATTTATTGCCTTTAACTCTTTCCCTCATCACACTCGACTTGAGAATGGTCCAGGATGGACCGAAACGTCGTCGTCCCTTCTCTTTCTAGTGTGTGATTTGGTCAACATATTTCAGCCACGTTATTGTGACTCCTCGTCTGCCAATAGACCCATATGCGTCATAGACACTCAAGTCAATATTTTTTCAGTATAAGAGTAGTGAAAAAGTGTACTAAACATTATAAGAAGTTTAGGCATCTTCAGTACATAGTTCCAACGGTAGATATGTAAAGAAAGAAGAGGAGAACTATTACTTTAGTTCACTGGCAGCTTAAAGGCGGCGCCCCGGAGCTGATGCTCTCTCTAAATGTACACGCAGGTTGAGTAAGCCTTGATAAACAAGTAGAATACAGAATGAAACAGGAAGTCAACAGTTCAAGAGATAATTAACTGGAAGTTTAAAGAAGCAATAGTTCCAGGAAAATCTCCACGCTCGCACTCTCACTCATTCAATTTTGCTTTCGGTAATACTCTTGCTCGCACTCTCCTCTTCACTCTTTTAATACTTGGCCTTCATGTTCGTGTTTTGTCACTGGCTCTACACCCTTCTGCAACCCGCTCTTCCTTGCTATGTTTTTGTGGCCATAATTTTCTTAGTGAGCACAGTTTCCGGCCAGAACAACTGTAATCACCTAGTTGTGCTTGCGGGGTTGAGCTCTGGCTCTTTGGTCTTGCCTCTCAACTGTCAGTCACCTTGTGTTCAGATTCCTGAGCCTACTGGGCTCTATCATATCTACATTTGAAACTGTGTATGGAGTCTGCCTCCGCCACATTACTGCCAAACGCATTCCACCTATTAACTACTCTAACACTGAAAAAGTTCTTTCTAACGTCCCTGTGGCTAATTTGGGTACTCAATTTCCACATATCCCCTTGTTCTCGTATCACCCGTGTTAAACAGTATCTTTATCTACCCTGTCAATTGCTCTTAAGAGTTTTGTTGGTAGTGATCATGTCTCGCTTAACTCTTCTGTCTTCCAGCGTCGTGAGGAACAGTTCCAGTAATCTTTCCTCATAGCTCATTCCTATCAGCTCGGGGACTAGCCTGGTAACATACCTCTGAATCTTTTCTAACTTCGTATTGTATTTGACTAGATGTGGACTCCAGGCTTGTGCCGCATATTACTAGGAGTGAGGAAGGGAACAAACTATCTTTAGGAACCGGGGGAGGGAGAAGGGAACTATCAGGGGGGAAAGTGCCAAGCCATTACGACTATATAGCAGGGATCAGGATAAGGATTTGTGGTGGGGACGCGGGGGAGGAATGGTGTCCAACCACTTGGACGGTCGGGGATTGAACGCCGACCTGCATGAAGCGAGACCGTCGCTCTACCATCCAGCCCAAGTGGATGGGCAGGGGGAGGGAGAGAGAAAGAGAGGGAGCTCTCTCTCCCATCATTATCAACCTCAATTATTGTGGAGTGTTATCAACTCCACAAAGTTGGGCTAGATTAGGAACCTTGAGAACATTAGTCTTGTAGATAACAGTAAGTCGGCCGACATCTGTACGATGTTGAAGGCTCTGATGTGCTGGCCAATCCATCTAGAACGGGCCAAGACTGGAGATGAGTCTCCTCCCAAGGTTCTCCACCTTGTCAAAAATTCTTTCTCTTTCCATCTTTCTTCCTCTCTTTTGTGTTTTTAAAAACTAATACTTGGGTTCATAGTTGTTGAGGTACTTATTGAAACTATGAGCAAGAGTTGTAATCTCTTTCTCTCTCTCTCTTTACCCCCCCCCCCCCCCCTACAAGAGAAAAAGAGAAAGATAAAATGTCTTTCATTCTCTCTCTCTCTCTCTCTCTCTCTCTCTCTCTCTCTCTCTCTCTCTCTCTCTCTCTCTCTCTCTCTCTCTCTCTCTCTCTCTCTCTCTCTCTCTCTCTCTCTCTCTCTCTCTCTCTCTCTCTCTCTCTCTCTCTCTCTCTCTCTCTCTCTCTCTCTCTCTCTCTCTCTCTCTCTCTCTCTCTCTCTCTCTCTCTCTCTCAATTATAACATCTTAATTGGCAATCAAAGGAAAAAGGTAAACCTCTGCCCACCTGTTATAGTTTCATGGTAGAGCTGCCACACCTCGCTGGCTGGACTCTAGTCCCCCTCCACCAGCCCCAGAGGTCACCCCTCCACCAGCCCCAGAGGTCACCCCTCCACCAGCCCCAGAGGTCACCCCTCCACCAGTCCCAGAGGTCACCCCTCCACCAGCCCCAGAGGTCACCCCTCCACCAGCCCCAGAGGTCACCCCTCCACCAGCCCCAGAGGTCACCCCTCCACCAGCCCCAGAGGCCACCCTTCCACCAGCCCCAGAGGTCACCCCTCCACCAGCCCCAGAGGCCACCCTTCCACCAGCCCCAGAGGTCACCCCTCCACCAGCCCCAGAGGCCACCCTTCCACCAGCCCCAGAGGTCACCCCTCCACCAGCCCCAGAGGTCACCCCTCCACCAGCCCCAGAGGTCACCCCTCCACCAGCCCCAGAGATCACCCCTCCACCAGTCCCAGAGGTCACCCCTCCAACAGCCCCAGAGGTCACCCCTCCACCAGCCCCAGAGATCACCCCTCCACCAGTCCCAGAAAGGTCACCCCTCCACCAGCCCCAGTGAGGTCACCCCTCCACCAGCCCCAGTGAGGTCACTCCTCCACCAGCCCCAGAAAGGTCACCCCTCCACCAGCCCCAGAAAGGTCACCCCTCCACCAGCTCCTGCTAAGATCTTACTAATTATTGCCAATTATATTTGATGACTAATTTATTACCCTATTATCCTGACCTTTATCTCTTGGATCTGTTTTTGGGGGAGTGATAGGAAGTGAAGTGAAGGGGAGGGGAAGGACATCGGGAGGGGGATGGGGAGGGGGAAGGAGGAAGGAGGGGAGAGGATGGGAGGAGGAAAAAGGGAAAGAGGGAAGAGAGTGGGTGCCAATTTCAACTCTTTAAGTATTTAAATGACTGAACTGAATTTAAATTTGTCTTGAGAATGAAATTAAAGTTTTTCATCGCCTGATTTCCTGATTATTTGCAAGGCGATGCAATTTAATTGTGTTTTAGAGTTCTCTAAATGTATTATTATTATTGTTATAATTATTATTATTATTATTATTATTATTATTATTATTATTATTATTATTATTATTATTATTATTATTATTATTGTCATTATTATCATTATTATCATTATCATAAGAAAAACAATTAGAGCAATGAAGAGATTCGAACCGGTGACCTTGGTACTTCCAAGCCGAGCACCGTGATATATCACGCTAGTGTGATTTCCCTGTGTATTATTATTATTATTATTATTATTATTATTATTATTATTATTATTATTATTATTATTATTATTATTTTTATTATTATTATTATTATTGTTCTTATTGTTATTATTATCGTAATTATTTACTATGTGGGTTAACAACTAGGAAGAGTTCGCTGAGTGACAGCTGTGATTCCTTCAGTTTTGTAGACCACTCATTTATCAAGAGGTGCTAGCATACATAAGAGGTGCACGATGATTGGCCTAGTGTGGCTAAGGGACATGAGAAATGCATGGTGATTGGTCTAGTGTGGCTAAGTGACATGGGAAATGCACGGTGATTGGTCTAGTGTGGCTAAAGGACATGGGGAATGCACGGTGATTAGTCTAGTGTGGATAAGGGACATGGGAAACGCTCTGATTGTTCCTGGACTCTTGAAAATAATGGTAAAGGATGACAACTTCGTATACCATTTGTGCCTGGAACAAGCACGTTGTCCACGCCCTGTGCAAGTACTGGAACTATTTCTCGTGTCATTTTTGTACATGAGATGCGTGTATAATTATACAGAGTATAGATACCTGCTTGATGGGATTCTGGGAGTTCTTCTACTCCCCAAGCCCGGCCCGAGGCCAGGCTTGACTTGTGAGAGTTTGGTTCACTAGGCCAATTATAGTCTAGCCCTCCAAGCTCCACTAGGCTTGGAGCGGCCCGCAGGCCCACATATCCACCACAGCCCGGCTGGTCCGGCATTTCTTGAAGAAAACTAGATAGTTTTCTCTTGAAGATGTCCACGGTTGTTCCTGCAATATGTCTTATTGGCTGTGAGTATGGGTGTATATCATACACAATCATCACTGGTTAGGATGAATAAGGGAGGGGGGGGGCTGTGAGTATGGGTGTATATCATACACAATCATCACTGGTCAGGATGAATAAGGGGAGGGGGAATCACTTACCCTTCCTCTCACCGAATACATCGCATTTATAATGCAATCGACTAAACTGTCAAAATTGCTGGAGTTTAGTAGAAATTAAGTCACCATATTATTGACGTTTTCTGACAATCAGATAGGTTAGGTGGACTGATAAGGTGCGAACATTTCTATTTAGGCAAAACCGCTGCATTAATTACGCAGTGTCAGTTCATGAGAACGTCTTGAGGTGGTACCGGTGAATAAAAGCGAAATCAATTATGAATAAAGTGCTAAGACAATTAAGAGAATTCCTGCCCTGAGGTAACAAGCATATTACCATCTCGACTTTAATTAAAATTCTTCCGAACAACTCTTCACGTATCCGGCAATCTGCTTCTGGCACTCAAGAGTTCGGTTGATGAAGGAAAAGGAAGAGGTTATTTTGCAAGTGTGTAACCAAACTGTACATGTTCAATAGCAAGATATGCAGACTAGGTCTTGTTTTCTGGCTAAATACCTGTGTTTATCACCAATTTAAGTCCTCTTGTGTGTTAATTCTAGCTCTTGGGCCCGAGCCTCAGCTTTGGTGTTTGGAATCATTAAAATATTTAATACTCTGACGAGACTTTTCCTTTCAGCCAGAAAATCAGACGATGCTCCTTCTTGACACTTGTCTACTTATTTACTTATCTACCAACTTTTGTATTTTGTTTAACTTAAAGGAAACATGTTCCAAACTTGTTATCCAGCCACACTCACCCTATATTAGTGTGTTATCCAGCCATACTCACCCTATGTTAGTGTGTGTTATCCACCCACACTCACCCTATATTAGTGTGTGTTATCCAGCCACACTCACCCTATATTAGTGTGTTATCCAGCCACACTCACCCTATATTAGTGTGTTATCCAGCCACACTCACCCTATATTAGTGTGTTATCCAGCCACACTCACCCTATATTAGTGTGTTATCCAGCCACACTCACCCTATGTTAGTGTGTTATCCAGCCACACTCACCCTATGTTAGTGTGTTATCCAGCCACACTCACCCTATATTAGTGTGTTATCCAGCCACACTCACCCTATATTAGTGTGTTATCCAGCCACACTCACCCTATGTTAGTGTGTTATCCAGCCACACTCACCCTATGTTAGTGTGTTATCCAGCCACACTCACCCTATATTAGTGTGTTATCCTCCCAGTGCGACGATTGCTTGGAGGTCATAGCTAATTTCATAATAGTGGCATTCCTGATTGGTCTCCAAACCGGTTTTACCACTTTCCCTGATACCTTTGCCGGTGAGACAGCTGGGACTTCAGCGGAAACGAAAGACGTGATTTTCTAATGAGAGAAATTTACCCATTTTCTCATTAGATGATTGATAAAGATTAAGCCACCCAAAAGGTGGCACGGGCATGAATAGCCCGCAAGTGGAGGCCCTTTTGAGCCATTACCAGTATCAAGAGATGATAATGGAGATCTGTGGAGGTGCGACTGCACCCTGCGTGACGGGAGATGTCTCCCGTGTCTCATTAGAAATAGAGACATTTCAGAATATGATTGGCGTGGGCACAAAAGCAAAGTTTAAGAGGAATTATACTAGTTTTCTATACTTATTTGACATAAAGAATTTGAAAATAACACTTACGACCCAGGAACAAAAATTGCCTAAACATTGTATTTTCAGAATTGCTGAAGGTGTAGGGAGGGGCAGCTCCTGAAGGAGGGGAAGGAGAATCGTGGGTCAAATGGTTAGGTAACCATGACGTCGCGATTTTTGTTGTTGTTGATTGGTCAGGTATTAATGATGTCCAGATTGTTATAGCCGCTGATTGTTCAGGGATTGTTAACGTCGTGAATGTTGTTGTTGCTGATTGGTCAGTCATGACCTGGATTGGTTACTGCTTGTTTCTTCGCTGTGATCTTTTGTGCTAATTATGAGTTAGTTGTAATCGTTGTTGTTATTAAATAATTATTATAAATGGTATTTGTTATATTTTGATTAAAAATTTTCATTGCAAAAACATGAATATTTTGACTGGGGTCACGTGTTTCAATATTAGCGGCTTATGCAATACACCTTTGAGCCTCCGCTCCTAATTAGGCCCTCACACCTGGGTGTAATTTGCCTTTGTACAACCAATTATATATTTTTTCCAATCAACAGGTGTTTTGTTTACTATGTTCTTAACATATTGATAATTATTATCAATATTTATTATGAGTGCCATCTTTTTTATCTTGTTATAATTATTTTATTGTAATTGACCGAATGGGAAATATGTTGCATCACTTTACATTTTTCTGTTTAGTTACATTACTTAATTTGCACTATTGCTTTAGTTGGATTTTCGTAGACAGTATTTTTGAGATATATACAAGAATTGTTACATTCTTGTACAGCCACTAGTACGCGTAGCGTTTCGGGCAGGTCCCTGGAATACGATCCCCGCCGCAAAGAATCGTTTTTTCATCCAAGTACACATTTTACTGTTGCGTTAAACAGAGGCTACAGTTAAGGAATTGCGCCCAGTACATCCTCCCCGGCCAGGATACGAACCCATGACATAGCGCTCGCGGAACGCCAGGCGAGTGTCTTACCACTACACCACGGAGACTTTATTCCGTTATGAACCTGTCATTACATTAAACGCACCCGACTTACGTCACTATCGACCACGCGTTAAAATTCAGGAGCATTACGTGAAATTAAAAGCACCACAATATTGTCTCTTGGGACTAATTAGCGCCGGACTCGATAAGTCAGGTGGGTTGGCAAAGTTCGGACGCTTCTGGTTGGGCAAAACCACTTGAAAGTTGACGTTCGTGGTAAAATGGTATTCATCAGCAACACTCGCAGCAGCGTGAGAGGGTATCATCACAGGAGAGGTAAATAGTCACACTCGTCATGCCTCATCATCTCTCTGCTTGTACTCTTATCGTTGCTTGTTATCAACACTATTATCATCATCTATTTCGAAAACACTCAGGGCCAGAATTCATCAATTACGAAACCTGTATATCATAGCGTTTTTTTTTTTACGTTTATTAAACAGTTTACGAGATTTGAAACATCACACCCCTAAGGTTATTTATTATTAATATGAGCAACCTCGTAATGAGAAAATTATTTAGAGCAATGTGGGATTGCTCCAAATGATTGCTTAGTGGACTCAGTAGAGTTCCGGGTTGAATAGCTTTTGTCCTATCGTGGCACGGCCGCAACACCTGCCCTGCTGCAACACCTGTCCTGTCGCAACACCTGCACAACATTACCATTGTCGCCAAAATCGGCACCATTGTTGCCACCTCAATTTAACACTAGCGGCAACAATAATAATATTATTAACCTGTACAGGCTCCATAAACACACCACCAGCAGCATCCTCACAAGAAATACTATCCCCGCCCCCTCCTACCACCACCCGTC